TAGGCTAGCAGGCTGGAGTGACCTTTTACAAGGTTTAGTTTGTGGATCAGTAGGCGGGGAATGAGGAATCTCTCCCAGATCAGCTTTCACTCCTCCTCGTGTTTCTTTAAGGGGGCAGGGAAGGGTCTAGTAAACCATTCTGGCCCACATTTTCGTTCTGCGAAGGGAGCCATGTCTGCGGTAAACTCATGCCGTTTTGCAAACATATGAACAAAGATAGACAAATTGGATCGAAGGGAATGGCCTTCCTCGATAGGAGTAATTTGAGCCAGGCGAGGCCATTCGACTTTTCTCTCAGCAACTGCAGGCGAATGTTCATCAACTTCACCTTTGTTGGGGAGACTGTGCTCAAAAGTGGCATTAAGCCACAGCTGAAGAAGCCAAAAGGGGCCCGACAACAGCAAATTGCCATGACTGTCAGGATCTTTCAGTTTACCCGCACCTTCGCCTAAGGCTTCGTAAAGACTAGCCAGGATCATTTCACTGAGGCAAACGCCTCTCTTCACATGTAGTTGGTTGGCCAGGACCAGATACTTTCTCGCCACCTGCAAAGATTTGGTACAAAATACACAGCGGGATAAACACATGGCCAAGAAGGCTATGTGTTCTTCATCATCAACAGAGGTACTAGTTTTATTGTGGTAGTGTTGGACAAAAGTTGTATAAGTGTGTTTAGTATTAGCAAAACCAATGCTGTCATGACTATCGATCTCGGGATCATAAACAAGGCCGTAGGGTTTTAGACCTACAATGGCAGCTACGTCGAGTAAAGTGGGTGTCATCATCCCACAAGGAAGGTGAAAAGTATTGTGAGTCCTATCCCAGAAGAATAAGGAGGAGGCCAGCATGAGAGGGCAATACGAAGGGCCTACTTTCGACATCATAATCAAATCGTAAATCCCAGTGTCCTTCCATTCCTGGGCTTTTACCTTCTCTATTTTTGTCAGCCAGTTGAGATAGAGTTCAGAATCTTTGAAGTAGGGAGTGGCCCTAAACAATCTGGCCCCATCATGAAGATACCTAAAGTCTACGTCGAAAAGGCTCAGGCTATCAGGACCGTCAGTGGAAATTTTATTGAAGTCTCTTTGCCCTAGGGGTTTAGTGATTCTATAAGAAGGGAAGAAATCCTTAATGGCGGAGTAGTCAAGACCTGGAGGGGGTAAAGGCCCAGACATGGCTAAAGGTTTCTCTGCAACAGTAACAGGAATGATTACCTGAGATTCGTAAATGTGGCATTTCTCCTCCGTCAGGGGTTCACGGATGAACTGCTGATTCTTTATCACCTGGGGACCGTTCAAGTTAGCAAAGGGAGGAAGTGTGGAGGCAGAAGTTTGTCCCTTAGATGGCATTTTCTTCTTTTGATGACCAGCCATTTCTGAAGAAAGTGAGAGTTTGTTGGTTGGAAGCAGAAAACTAGAGAAAAAGCAAGGAAAGTTATGGGGAGTTAGAGAAGTTGTAAAAAATGAAAACGTCAAAGGGAAATTACTTATATAAAGTATGGAAGACTAAAAGTTTTCATCATTAAGGGGCTAGAGTTAGTGGGCCACGTGTGTATGCAGATGTGGGATGGCAGAGGCAGTAGTTGCAATTCATGTCCCCAAGGTTGGAAAGGTGATGATGGCCCACAATTTTGATGATTCCCGAGAAAATAGCTATGATGATAGTGACGTCATAAACGTGCATCAAGGTGGCAGAACAGTAGCTTGCGTGTTCATAGCTATCTTTCTTTTTCTCTTTCATTCCCTTTCAAATTCTCAAGCTTACATTGGTGGAAAGAGTATCAGACGACACTCATGAGGGCAAAGCGGCGTCGAAGGTCTTACGCTGTAAAAAAATGTGCTTTTCCACGGTCGAAGTTGAAAAGACATTTTTGGGGGGCAATTTGTTAGCTCCTAAATTCGACGCCTCAGCTAGAAAGAAGGTATCTAAGACAAAAGGGTGGAGAATAACTTGAATACAAGAAAATAGTCGAAAGAAGCAAAAAAGCTAAGTCGAAAGACTCACCCAGAGGCCAAGGGTTCGACCGCCTGCTGAGACGAATGGTTTGTCGAAGTATTTGAAATTTGAATGTTGGAGGGAATAGTTTTTCTTATGGAAAATTGAGGGAGACACGTGTCACCTTATGAATACTGGATCCATGCATTTGAGACAAGTGGCGGAAGGAGATTATGGTGGAAGTTAGGAGAGGTTATTTTTTGTTACTATAAATAGAGTGTCTTATACATATCCAAAGTGTGTTGTAATTTACTATTGTACAAGTTACTCTTGAAATTACTCCAAGTATCCGAGTGTAGAGAAAGCGAGTATTATAAGAGAATGTACGTGATGCAAACACAATCTTTTAACTTAATGCAATTTACTTTTTACTTTAAGTTTTACGAAACCTTTTATTGTCTTTATTGTCTTTACCCCTCTTTCCCCCTTGCCTTATTTCTCTCCTTCCTTTGCAATTCTTTTCTCTTCGTCCTCAATCTAACTTCACCCTCACCAATAAACTTTCTTCTCTTTTATTAGAAGTCTTACTTTACCTTTAAATTAACCCTTAGTCGAATAGATGTTCTTTTAAGATTCTGTTTATCCCAATACTGTTCGAGTGTGGAACTTGAATAAATTCTTAAAACCAAAAATAAATCTTTTAGCACATGTCCTAAGATCAATTTGATCGATCCTGTGAGTCACCAAAGTTAGATTTGGAAGATCAGCGGTTGTTTTCCGATTTTCATGGGAAACAGAGACCTTAACGGATAAATAATGGAAGGCAACTATGGTCAAAGAGTTACAAGCAATCTAAAGAAACAATACATGGGAGCTAGTCGAATTGTCAACACATACAAAAGCTATCAAAGTGAAGTGGGTGTTTAAGCAGAAGCACAATCCTGATAGGTTGATTGCAAGATATAAGGTAAGATTAATAGCTCGTTATTTTCTTCAGAGAGCATGACTCGACTACTCTGAAGTATATGCACCAGTAGCAAGATTAGAAACTATCAAATTGGTGGTAGCCTTAGCATGCAAGCAAGGTTGGTCAATATTTCACTTAGATGTAAAATCAACATTTTTGAATGGTATCCTATATGAAGTCGTGTATGTCATACAATCTCTTGGGTTTGTGATACAAGAGGAAGCAAGAAAAGTGTATAAGTTTCACAAAGCTACCCATGCCATGGAATAAGAAGATCGAATCATACTTAGTCGAATTGAGGTTCATCAAATGCATGTATGAGTATGATGTCTATGTACAGGTCATGGCATAAGATATAACCATAATATGCTTATATGTCTATAACTTGCTAGTAACGGGAAACAACATGAAAAGTTTGTCGAAGTTCAAAGAGCTGATGAAGAAAGAATTTGAAATGTCGGATATGGGAAAAAATTTCTTATTTTCTAGGCATGGAATTTCAAATGTCGAAGCAAGGTATGCTGTTACATCAAAGAAATACTAAAGAGATTCAAGATGGAAGACTTGAATCCTACATCCTCCCCTATCAAACCAAATTTTAAATTGGGAAAACATGGAGAGGAGGACAAGATCGACGCTACTTTGTTCAAACAAGTTGTAGGATCTTTGAGGTATGTATGCAATAACGGACTTGATATAGGTATCTTCGTCGGATTGGTAAGCAGATACGTGGATGAACCAAATGTGTCACACATGAAGGTTACAAGAAGAATCCTGAGATACCTAAAAGGATAAGGGTAATTGTTAATACGAAATTAATGAAGTTGTGATTAATTGTTATTCAGATATTGATTGGTGTGGAGATAAAGAAGATTGATGAAGCACAATTGGTTATTTGTTTCAAGTATTTGGTGCTTCAATCTCATGGTACTCGAGAAAGCAACTTGTGGTGACACTATCATCATGTGAAACTAAGTATATAGAAGTATCATATGTTGCTTGTCAAGTAATCTGGATCAAATCTATGTTGGATGAGATGGAGGTCGAAGTGAAGAAACCTCTAGTGTTGCAGATCGACAAATCAACCATCAATCTTGCAAAGAATTCAGGTCGGCATAGAAAAAGCAAGTATATTGAGGTGAGTTTTCATTTCCCAAAGGAAAAGGTAAATCAAGACGAGCTTGAAGTGAGACATTATCCGATGAAACACGGTTGACTGACATTTTCATTAAAGAATTGAAAATCGACAGATTCTTGACTTTGAAAAAGGAATTAGGAATAATTTAGATCGATTATGATTAATTTGTATTTATTGACTTATATTATAAAAGAGTATGTTGTGATATAAGATCAAATTCAAATTAATTAGAGGACCTTGGATGAATCTGGCCATCCTAAATAGATGAACAAATAGTTGGGGTTACGTGAACCTCGTGCTTAGTGCTTTTATGCTGAATGGATTGAGCCTCAACCCACAAAGGAACACTAGAGAAAGCAAGACCGGAAAGTATCAAGCAACCAGAATAATACTGTTGCTCAGATTTACAAAGCTAGATATTTTCTTAAGCGTGGTTTTTAGGGGGCTGTCTAGGCCATAACCCAGGTTTTACTTGGTGTAGTACATTCACTTCCCAGTTTGTAGTAAGTGATGGCCTTATGTGGTAACGGAAAAATCATTGCGGAATGGCAAGAACCATGATTGAGGACAAAGGACAAATGTTACAAGGAAATTTCAAGGTGACATATATGTTGTTTCAAGGAAGTAATATATGAAATTGAGAAACTATTAATAAATTTCTTAATGAGAGATACATAGGAAAAATTCTCAAGATTACAACAACACAGGTTGATTTTATTCTTCTGTAAAATATTACAAGGGACCTTAAAAAAATTGGTCCAATATATATACATGAGTATAAGGAAATAAATAAATAAATTTATCTACATGAATTAATGGGAAAGAATGGCAAAAATTCTCATGCCTTCTCTATTTACAGAAACGAATTAAAGAACTTGATACATGAATAAATTTGGTGGAACTTGACACACTATCAATTTTCAAATTGGCCTTCTCTATTATTGAGTCTTCAACACTAACCTATTCATCCTCTAAACCACTCATGTTCCCAGTTAAGTCCTCTTCAAATGTGTGTATTCCGTCATTAACTCCACCCATCTGCATATACCAAATACAATTTCCTTAATTTTCTCACATCTTTTTACCATATACAAAGTTTCAATTTCAAATCACTTTCAATGATAATACCTTCACATTGGAAAGGTCCACATTATTCTTTTCAAGGAATGAAGTAAAATCCTTAAAATTCTCTTCTGTTGGACGATAATGACCACTGTGAGGCCAAACAGCCTGTTCAAAACAATGCTGACGTGTATTAGTATCAGACACTAACACAAACACAATAACACCAGACACCTGATTAATAAATTTCGAAGCCTACCTTTAAGACACCATGTTCAACAACCAGTCTTCCAGCACAAGATGTGGCTCCACCAGCCAAAAAACTAGAATGCTGAAATGAGCCTTTCTTCTTTTTACCAACATATAACTTCTTCGATGTGCTAAGGACAAAAATCCACTTGGAACGTGAGCCTTCTTTTATAGTGTGAAGGAACTCTCCTGATTCTTTGTACAACAACTTTCCATCTTCCACAACAACTTCATAAGACAATCTTTCCATCTAGAAGAAAGAAGGGATGGAAATAATGAGTATAACTTCAACACAAAGATAACCAAAAAAGAAGAAAATGTTGACATTAGTAGAGAGTTAAAACTTACAGGACCAAGATATTTAACACTCTGTTGTTGAAGTTTAGCTCGAGAACACTTCTCAAGATTTACTTCCTTTCCTTCTCCAATATCTAGCCTACAATTTCAAAAAACAAGATTAATCAGTTTCAATTCTGGTGATGAATTTACATGCACAATGAGTACTAATACATTTTGCAAAGAATGTTACCAATAGAAAAAGGGTTCCATGCTCTGACTCTTGAGCCATTTATCATAATAAAAGTGTAGATTATGTCCATACCGATGCCTTGGATCGATCTGTTTCACACACAACAAAAGCATTTCAGTAAATAGTGATTGATATAGATAAAGAAATAGTATGATCAAGAACATGTGTTTGACTTACTGCTTCAAGCCAATGCAGCAAAGCAAGTTTCCTAGCTTTGAAATCTTTCGATAAACCTTTACCAACCTTAGCGGCTCTTGTTCTCGCTCTAGACCAACGCGAAATGGCAGTTTCATGGTTCTCAACGTCAAAGAAAGATATAGAGCTTCGCTTTAGTTCAGCAGAATCTAAAAGCTTCCACCTATATATACGATTAAAACAATTAATGTCAAGTTAAAACACAAGATATTTATGTACAATTGAAATTCTATATATTAAGTAAATATAACATAATGTACCAGTTTTGTTGAATAAGATTTGCAGAATCTTCAGATTTCAGTACTAGTGGCAAAGAAATCACCATATGACAGTAATATAAATGAAATGGAAAAGTGATGATGAGAGGTAATTAAACTCAAGTAGTTGTGATTGTTAGAACTTAAATTTACAGATGAGGTTACTCTCTAACTTCATTTATAAAGAGAAAGGATGAAAGTGAAGTTATGTGAGAGAGTTGAAAGTTGACAGAGAAAGACAATGTTCCCTTTTTCTGAACCACGAGGTGTTGACTTTGTGTGACAACAACATAAGACCAAGTATTTAGGAGGAGGGTTGTTTATGCTGTAAAAAAGACAAATTCAACACACACATACCTTTTGTACGCATGACATGACATAACCAACAAGTGTTATTTAATTAAGGTTTTTGAATGATTGCTTAACTTATTATGTCTTGCAGGTTCAAGTGCGATATTGGGGTTTTACTTTATTGAGAAAAACTAGATTGACTTGATCAACCATTGTGTCATTGCTTGTGTCATCTAGCTTAAGCGCCAAGCTTTTTAGTTGGTCTATTCCAAGTCTTCTAACACTTAATTGACCCCTCCAGGTATAATTCAAGTTATATTATATTATATATGATGTTCACATTCATGTAAGCGTAGGCTGCAAGAACCAACTATGTTTTTTATTTTTATTTTTATTTTTATAACAAATGAAAATTATATTAACTAAAAGGCAAAGTAACATTACACTTAGAGGTACTCAAAGTAGGGATATGAACGGTTCAAATTCTAGAGCCTAAAGACTTTTCAATTTCTACCATATGATGAACATCCATATTATTATCTCTACTACTAATAATAAACATAAGAGTAACCCTATTAAAGTCATTTATTAAACTTCTACAATCACAAATAATGAGATTCAAATCAACAATATAGTCAAGTCCATTTATGCAATCAATTATCACAAGTGCGTCAGACTACAAGATAAAACTCTTCAGGTTTAACTGCTTTGCCAATTGCAAGGACAATCGAATTCCCAAAAGCTCTGCATTCGAAAGACCAATAAGACTTGAAAATATTTTTGAAGTTGCAAGAAAGATGCTAGAAGAAGGGTCTCTAACAACGCAACCAAGGGAAACTACTCCCTCTTCAAAACAGCCTGCATCGGTTTGTACCACCCACGAGTTCCTTCTCAAAGGCACTTCCCCAATCCTATGGTCTTTAATAGCAGCAATCTTGTTCCCATTAGAGTTCTTCTCAAAGGCCTCCCAAATCTCTCTAGCTACAACCCACGGATCCGACATTACCTTCTTCAAAACAACATTGTTTTGCACCTGCCAGAGTTTCCATAAACTAATGTTGACCAATTGCCCCAGCATCACATCTTTGTTTATAAGACCTCACAAAGCTATTATGTTATGTCTCCTACTTCCTCAACACGAATCTCCAAAGGAGCACCAAAGAGAACTCTTTTCACGAAAGCACACTGAAGAAAAAGATGAGGGGATTTTCAACATGAGAATAACAAAAGGGACAAGAGTCATCTATAAGCATACCTTTTTTTCTAAGGTTGTACTTTGTAGGAAGGATGTCTTTGACCAACCGCCACATGAAGTTCTTTATCCACATGTTCATTGCCACCTTCCACAAGCTCTTTCATAACTTATGACTACTACCAGTTGAGGTTCCAGGATTTCCACTAAGCCTTTTTACGCCCAGACAATGGTAATGAGTTTTGACTGAATAGATTCCGTCTTTTTCAAAGTGTCAGATTAGATTTCCTCCGAGTGTTATAACAATATTTGTTCATGACATATATTCCTTGAGTTTTGATGATAACAAAGTATTAAAAGAACAATGGTTATATATATATATATATATATATATATATATATATATATATATATATATATATATATATATATATATATATATATATATATATATATATATATATATATATATATATATATATATATATATATATATATATATATATATATATATATATATATATATATATATATATATATATATATATATATATATATATATTCAAAATTTGATACACAAAGACACATTTGAGAGAAGTTGAATTGCTAGCTTCTGGTGGTGCAGAATCTAAAAAACACTCACTAAGTGATGTCTAGCGTAGACTCTGAAGCTGAGGTCTCAGCATCAGAAGAAGCAACATTATTGCCTCTACACTTGGTCAATGTAAATTGACTTCTAGTGATCATTCAGAGTTAGTGATAAAGCTGAAGTTATCCGTACTGTAGAAAGCAAGATGCATTATCAAATCAGTTTGTTAGCTAGAGTCTTAGTTCACAAGGCTCAAGAATATTTGGCATGCTTTATGAATATCTACTCCAAATGACTCTATAGTACATGATCTCTTTGGAGACTCAATGGTTAAACACTATACATAATGGACCAAGATCTTTTTTTGTATCTGTCTTCAACGTCTCTTGTACTATGGTGAAAGCAAATACACTTGATAAAGTTATCTCTCTAATGGCTAGTCTTATGCAAATTCTATATAAGTAGCTAAAGGTTCAAACTGAATCTTTTACAAGGATCAACCTAATGGAGGAGTAACAAGATCAACAATTATCAACACAATTAGTTATGCAGAATTTTTGTTGTAGGTTGTAATTGTAAAAGCCTTATGATTTCTTACACATTGAATATCTTAGAAATCTTAAGAGCTTTAGGTCTTTGTTATGATGATTTCCTTGTACCTCTGATATTTGTATCAAGTACACATTGTTATCTATTTTGCTGAACATGTTGTTAGCAGTTTAGATTAAGTCTCTCGTCAAGATGCTTGAGCCATGTAAGTTTCATGCTATGTGCTAGAGCAATGAAAGTCTTAATCAAGTTGATTGATTGAGAAAATATAAGTCTCTCGCCAAGATTCTTGATCCATGTAAGTCTCCTGCTATGTGCTAGAGCATTGGAAGTCTTAATCAAGTGGATTGATTAAGTAGAAGTCTTGGATTCGTGGAACCTGAGCAAGGAAGTCTTGGATTGAGGGTTTGAGCAGAAGTCTTGAGCCTGAGGGGCTTAAGAAGGAAGTCTTGAACCTGGGGGATTTAAGTAGGAAGTCTTGGGTCAAAGGGGCTTGAGCAGGAAGACTCGGGTCTAAGGGACCTGAGCAGGAAAGTCTTAGGCTTAGAGTATTGTTGCACCCCAAAATTTGCCCACCGGTTTTCCGACTTTGACTGACTTTTGCTTCGTTTTTCATCTGCATATCATTTTCGCATTTTGCCCGTATTATCAGCCGGATTGAATTTGTCAGGATTTTAGCCGCTTTGCTCGCGTTTCAGGCGAATCAAATTAATTCAAACGAAAAGCTCAGTGTCAAAATCGAGCGAAAGTCGCTCTCCTCTTGATAATTCAATCCATGTTGATAATATCGGCACATTTCGGTGCTCGCCCGTTTTCCCATGGCATTTTGCATTTATTTATTATTTTTTGCTTTATTTAATCATTTAGAATAGTTATTTATTTCTTTCTTTAGAATAGATTTTATTTTTATAGTTTTTATATAGAAGTTTAATTTATTTGAATTTTTATTAGAAATAGTTTTTTTTCTTATTTATGATAGAAATAGATTATTTTTATAAGCATAGAATTAATTTGTTTTTAGAGTCATTTTAGTTTTAGAATTAATTAGATTTGATTTAATTTTAGAGACATTTTAGGATTTTAGAATTAAATTAGTATTGTTAGAGATATTTTAGGATTTTTAATTTAAGTTATTAATGTTAGAGATATTTTAGGATTTAATTAGTTTTTAGATTTTGATTTTGATTTTAGAGTTTTAACCGTTTTTAATTTTATTAGAAATAGTTTTTATTTTAAATAGATTTAATTATATAGTTTAGAAATAGCTTTTAGGTTAAATATAATTTTTAGTGATTTTTTTTATTAGGAGCTAAATAGAGTTTTATTTTGTTTTAATATAGAATTTTATTTTGTGTGAGTTTTTATTAAATTATTTTAGAATTAATTAGAGTTATTTAGAGTTTTTAGATTATTTATTCATTTATTATTTTATTAGAATATTTAGTTTAATTAGAGTAGAATAACATTTGTCTCTTTTTTTAGAATGATAGTTTGTTAAGTTTTTTTTATTATTAGATTTTTTATTTTAATATTAATTAGATTATTAATAATTAATTATCTTTTTATTTTATTATTATTATTTTTTTATTTTATTATTATTAGATTAGGATTTAACTTTTATTAGAATTATATTAGTTTTAGTTATTTTGTTAGAACCTTATTTAGTCAGCATAATTAATCATCATTTTGTTAATAAAAAAATTCAAAAAAAAAGGTCCTAATGCCACGTGGCAGCACTATATAGGAGAGTGCCCTATTCACCTTCCCGCAACCTTCAGAAACCTTAATCCTAAAGGGAGGCAACCCTAACACAGCAGCCACTAGAGGGAACTCAAACCCATAACACCCATAACAACCGCTCATCATTTCTGCAAACAATCTTCCACGAACCATCATCAACAACTTCAACAACCAACGAAACTCCTCCAACAAAATCCATAAACTCAACACCACTGTCTTCAACCCCGAAAAAATCCCAACAAAAACTCCACACTCTCTTTCCCTCATAAAATCTGGTTAACAACAACACAAACTCTCACCATAAATCAACCCAGATATCCCGCTCCTTCAAAACCAACTCAACAGAAAGTCAACCACAACCCCCATCCTCGAGCTTCCGTCGTCATCACCATTATTAAAACCAAATCTGACCCATTTCAAACCGCAACAGGATCTGAACCCAAAGGAGAATGCTTAAATCTGAGAAAAGAAATAGGGAAGAAGATTTAAAGTTGAACAAAAACGGAGATTAAATGAGAGAGAGACGTTGGAGCTGTTGTGATTAATTTTTCGAATTTGTGAGTTTTGAACAGAGAGGAGAGGAAGTACGTAAACAGGAAGTTTGGTTTTGGAAAAAACGTGAGAATAAGACCGAGAGTAGCGTTAGAAAGAAGAAGAGATATTCTTGTTTTCTTTTTGTTCATTTATTTATTTATTTATTCTGATTG